GAGCGGTAGTTTCTTCTAAGGAAGGGGGTTTATTATTAGTTAACAAGTGCTTGCCTGTTTAGATTGGTCCTGTCTTTACAATACAATTCCATGTAGACATAAGAAAAAGCTTGTCACTGTGAATGTGGTCAAACACTGCAGCAGGTTGCCCACAGAGGTTGTGGAGTCTCCATCCTTGGAGATATTCAAAATACATGGGGACACAGGCCTGGCAGGGAGGGTGATTAGGCAATCTATACAGGAGCATTCCAGCTCTGCTGCTTTGATTATTAAGTATTTTCTGCTCATTTTCCAGCCTGAATAATCTGATTTTTTTATTATTTTTTTCATAGAAAATCTCATTTTATCATGACAATGTGGGTTTGATTCACACACACCCAATATGGAATGATTTACTAAATTGTTAGATTTAAACATACTTAAAAGTTGTCTTTGGATTTGTAATGCTTTCAGAAGCTAAAGTGCTGTTTTATTTTCACATAACCCATACAGCACACTTTACTGGGTGTTTTATCTTTCTAATTTCCAAGGAAAGGAGGAGAGCAACTCAGACTGTCACCCCTTTTGTCAGAAGTGGGTGATCAAAGTTCAAGGTTTTGTGTTCTTCAGAGAGGCTGATGATGGAGGCTCAGGTATCTCTGGAATTCCTCTTACTTATAAAGAATGTGCAAGATCCTGTTTCCCTGAACACAAGGCATTAAATAGCTGAGAATAGGGATTTTGCTTGCAGCTCAAAGGCCTTTTAACCTAGAAAGTGTTCAGATCAAAGAGCTCCTTTTCAGCTTTTTCTTGAGAGTGTGCTCTCAGATATTCTGATGCCTGTTTTTTTCACTCGGCTCCTTTGCTTCCTTCTTTTTAATATTTGGGGCAATACCAGCACATTTTTAAGTGTCTTTGCATATTACTTTGTTTTGGACAATAATAAGTTCCTCTGTTCCAGCATGGATATGGGCGTTTATGAGGAGATTGAATTGTTTGGACTTTCTTAAAATTGCAGCAGTCATACCCACCTGCTCAATCCACCAGTAATTTAAAACAATAGCTTATCTTCTGCTCATCCTTATCTGTGTTACAGTCCCAATGACTTTCTGGGTTGCATTAGTGTTGGTGTAACAGCCTGGCTTCGAAAGATTTTTACAGTTTTACCAGTGAGCTTGTGCTGGCTCTCCCTCTGTTTTGCAGAAAGGCCACTACAATATATCAGCTTCTGTATTGTAGATGCTTAGGAATACAAGGAAATAAAACAGGTATTGGTACCTTTAAAAGTTCAACAATAACTCACTTTAATGTCAAGCTTTGTTGTGATGTGTCTCTATCAAAGCTACAAGAAAATTTGGGTCCTTTTAATGACTTTCTTTCAAAAGGTAACAGAAACTGTGCTGGAAAAATGATACATCTTTGAGGATTCAAGGCAGTTAACAGCAGGAAACTAGCAAACAGCTATTCCTCTGGTAGGTGAGTATCTCTCTAGTAGATGATTTCCAAAATATTTAAAAAGTAAATTTACATTACAGTAACAATGGAAAAAGAGCAAATGCTTGCTCACTGGTACCTTTTTCTCTACGAAATGGAACAGCAAGCCTCTTCAGGAGCAACTGATACTTTTGTCAGGGTCACTGTCAAATAAGAATTCAGAATTGGACAATTAAGACCAGTCCTGTGTAGGCTTATCTAGAATTTTACATTTTGATTATGAGGCACCTACCTCTGGATTTAAAAGAAAAGTCAAGAAACAGCTACGTA